ACTCTTCAATGCAGTGCGACAAATGGACAAAACAAATGCCTTACATTCATCAATGGCATGTACAGATGCCGATTAAAGTATAAAGAATTCCTTTGTATAGGCAGGAAGCCTTAACCCATATACTGTCCAAAATGATGTTACATTGCATCCAAGCTCCTCTCACAACCCCTCCCCCTCTCTAAATCTCAGTACTGGGTAGTTCATAACAAATATCACAACCCCTCCCCTCTCTCTAAATCTAAATACTTGGTAGCATGTAACCAGTGTCACAACCCCTCCCCCTCTCCAAATCTCAATACTGGGTAGCATGTAACGAGTCTCACAACCCCTCCCTCTCTCCAAATCTCAATACTGGGTAATTCATAACAAATATCACAACCCCTCCCTCTCTCCAAATCTCAATACTGGGTAGCATGTAACGAGTCTCTCAGCTCTTACCACTCTCTAAATCCCAATATTGAGTAGCATATAATGAGTGTCACAGACCCATCCCCTCTCTCTAAATCCTAATACTGGGTAGCACATAACAAGTCTTACAACCCCTCCCTTCTCTAAATCCCAATACTGGGTAGCACATAACAAGTCTCACAATACTGGGTAGCCCTCCTCTCTAAATCCAATACTGGGTCTAACAAGTCTCAAATCTCTTTAGAAATCTCAACACTGGGTAGCACATAGCTAGTCTCACAACCCAACCCCCTCATTAAATCTCAACACTGGGTAGCATATAACGAGTCTCACAACCCCTCCCTCTCTCTAAATCTCAATACTAAGTAGAATGTAAACTCTTTCAATTGCAATACTGGTTAGAATGTACCAAATCTCACAATCCCCTCCCCCTCTCTAAATCCCAATACTGGATAGCATGTAACATAGTCTAACAACCCCTCCCACTCTAAATCCCAATACTGTATAGCATATAATAAGTCTCATAACCCATCCCACTCTCTCAATCCCAATACTGGGTTGTCCTGCGAGTCTCACAACCCCTCCCCTCATTAAATCCAAATACTGGGTAACACCAAGTCTCACAACCCCTCCCTCTCTCCAAGTCTCAATACTGGGTAGCATTGTAACATGTCTCACAACCCCTCCTTTTCTCTAAATTCCAATACTGGGTTGCAGTACATAACAAGCCTCGCAACCCCTCCCTCTCTCTAAATCCCAATACTAAGTAGAATGTAAACGCTTTAATGTAAACTCTTTAAATTGCAATACTGGTTACAATGTACCAAATCTCACAATCCTCCTCCCCTTTCCTAAAATCCCAATACTGGATAGCTCATAGTCTCAAAACCCCTCCTTCTCTCTAAATCCCAATACTGGGTTGCCCTGTGAGTCTCACAACCCCTCCCCCTCTCTCTAAATCCCAATACTGGGTTGCCCTGTGAGTCTCACAACCCCTCACTCTCTTTAAATCCCAAGACTGGGTAGCTCATAGTCTCAAAACCCCTCCCTCTCTTTAAATCCCAATACTGGGTAGCACTGGGAGTCCCCCCCACTCTCTCTCTCTAAATCTCAATACATGTACTGGGTAGCATGTAACAAGTCTCACATCCCCTTTCAAACCTAAATCCCAATACTGGGTAACACTACTACAAGTCTCACAACCCCTCCCACTCTCAAAATCTCACAGCAATAAGCCATTTTTAGAAAGAAGTCATTGTGACCTACTTTAGGGGTATATTATAGCCTCCATTTTAATATGGTTTGAATGAGGAGCCTCAACCCATGTCAGAAAAGCAACATATTCATGTTAACTAAAAATTTTCAAGAACACATGAATCCCATAAAAAACAATAAGCATGCACACACCGATTTAGCATCCAAGAAAATTTCAGTACATAAACATGTCATCTCACTGACTCAGGCTTTAATCCTCAATAGTTAAGTGAATTGCACAATTTCCACAGTGAAAACTGGCAATTACAAAATATTTGGATACTTGAACCCTAGTTCATAGAGATACTGTAATGTAACCCTTAGCTTCCCAAATACTAGACCCCTACTCTTAAATGCAGTGCAACAAATGGACAAAACAAATGGTATGTACAGATGCCGATAAAGGTATAAAGAATTCCTTTGTGTAGGCAGGAAGCCTTAGCCCATGTACTGTCCAAAATAATGATTCTGTTATATTACACCCAACATCCTCTTACAACCCCTCCCTCTCTCTAAATCCCAATACTGGGTAGTACTGCAAGTCCTACAACCCCTCCTTCTCTCTAAATCCCAATACTGGGTAGCACTGTGAGTCTCACAACCCCTCCTTCTCTCTAAATCCCAATACTGGGTAGCATATAACGAGTCTCACAACCCCTCCTTCTCTCTAAATCCCAATAATGGGTAGTATGTAACGAGTCTCACAACCCCTCCCTCTCTAAATCCAATAATACACTAAATCCAATACACACAACAAGTCTCATAGACCCTCCCACTATCTAAATCTCAATACTGGGTAACACTAAATATTAAAGGGTGCATTTTCATAGACCCTTGTTAAACTCAGTATAAATGGGAACCTTTAGCCCTTATTCTTCTAAAGGCATAAACATTTGCAACAACTACCCCCTCCCCATACACATTGTAGATTCTGTCCTCTGACATGCCAGTACTTGGCCTTAGCGAGACCATTACATTTCTTATACCCATTTATATTTGTTCAACTTTAATGCCTTTAATTTATGTGATGTCATTACTACAAAATAATCAATATCTCTTCAAAATAAATCTCATAATGAGCTCAAACACAACTCCTTAAGTGTATGCACAAAGATTAAATAGACTGAAAATCCCAAACCTTACTAAAATATCCATATTGAAATTCCAATACAACACTCAAATATTGGACTGAAGGTCACAGTTACACAGACTTAACACATTAATTCTAAGTTGCATCAAATGAAAATATCTCAAATCTTAGGCCTGTAATTAAATTAGGTGATCTAGACAAAGATCAGTAGCCATTGTAGAGGGATCTCAAAAGCCGTTCATGGGACTGATTGGGATTAGGACTGACTTCTACCCCTCCCTCGTGTGATGGGATCCCAAAAATTTCCATTGGACTGAATTATAAAAAGGATTAGGACTGACTCCCACCCCCTCCCCACAGTGCCATATCATTTAACAAATAAATCAACAAAATATGAAACTGTAAGGGCTAGCACACCATTACAAGGGTTACCAAAAGAAAAATTTACAATAACCCTATAAATTCGTACACACTTAAACATAACACACACATACATATATATATGTAAGCTTGAGATCTGTAATGTCCAAATGTCAATTATTTTTCACCAAGTCCATATCCTTTAATCTGTTATTCTTTCTTCCAAGTCCTGATAGTCTGGTATTCCTCCCTTCCTCCTGTATAAAACAACCAATCATAATCACTAAGGGTTTTTATCCCTCCAATTAGGAATAGTACCAACAGTGATTTCATTGAGACAAATAGCAGAAAAATATGAATATTATGTAAGAATTTTCTATCAATTCACATCCTGAATTTATTATCATAATAATAAAATAGTCATGATCAATTAAATTTCATGCAATAAATAACAAAAAATTTTGTGTATCATATGGACTTAAGTGACCTACTAAGAAAGTTTGTGTATGGATGTAAGTAACCTATGAAGAAAGTTTGCCTTCTTCTGTTCTGGTCAAAGTCACGTCTGATCTGGAATCTTCTTCTCTGTCCTACAGGTTCTTCTAAGACTGGTGTAGAAGGTCTGTCCAACTCTCTGCCTGTTAACAAAGAACAAAGGAAGGTCAATAAAAGAAAGTTAACACATTATTTAATGACAAAGAAATATGATTTTTCAAACAGAAAAATATGTGTTATGTCTTATTTTTATGTTAGATAAAAGTTCCTCACTTTCCAATTGAAACATTAATGCTCTTGAATACTAGATTCAGACTAGCTAAAGTAACTCCCTACATCTAATGTTCTTAAAATTATCGTATCTCTTAGAGTGAATTCAGTAGAGCTTGTATCTTACCCTCACTTCTACAGTAGGCTGCAGGCAATGTGTCTTCAAACTTTTCCATCAACAGGAAGATTTGATCAAGACCAGCATCGTCCTTGTCTGTTAACACAGAATGTGTACAGATCAGTTAATGATAGTACAAAGAAATCTACAAGTGAGAAAAGGGGAAATAAATTTACATAACACAAGGAGTGGATCTTACTTCTTACCATTTCCTGCAGGCCAAAGTCAATGCCGGTTGGCAGTACTTCCTGTCGCTGGTTTTTAACTTTTCCTAACCCAGATAGTGGAAGACTGCTATTGATGCTTGCTAAACCATTGTTCTGTGAACATAGAAAGTTAAGAGTCAAATATGTGTTCTAATTAGACAGAAATTGTGATAGCACAGAAAATGCAGATCATTTCTTACCACTCAAACAACTGGCTGCTGGTAAAATAGACTCCCTATACTCTGGCAATGATCTCTACTGTGTGGCTATCTGGTGTCCAGCTCTTGGTGTTCTTGTTTGACAGGTGATGTAATCTTCCAGTATTTTGTATCTCGTTTCCTGAAGACAGAGAATTTACATTAAAAGATGCCCAAATCATGTGTGAAAGAGCAGAAACAACAGATTTAGTATATTTAATTTCTATCTTACTGTTTCTTCAATGGCTGACTGCAGTGGATCTTTCTTGGTTGCACTCCTCCTAAAGAGTGATAGATGTGTTCCCTGCCACAAAATCAAAGATTGCCTAACCATTATTCTGAAAATAAAGAGAGTCAAGAGGATGAAAAGTGTCTTAATTGGGTTGACTTAGAATAAAAGATATCAATCAATTTCAAAAGTATCATATGCAACTTGTTTCTTACCATGTTGGCCAATGTTAGCCTGTTGGTTTCTTCTTCTTTGATCCTAGTCTTTATTGAATGGTTGTCCTCAGTTTGGCATCTGTCCATTCCTGCTGTCATCTGAAATATTGTCAAGAAATCGATAGTTTATTTAAGCTCCAAGTAGCTTAATTATAGAATATTGAGATTTTAGATCAAAGATTCATTCTTCATCAGCTTAGATGAGCACATAGGTCACAGTCATGTATAAAGAAGCACAAGCCATGGATTCAGCCCATTTAATTTGTATCTTACCCTTTCTTCTATGGCTGTCTGCAGTGGATCTTGGTTTCGTGGACTCCTCCTTGCGAGTGATTGGAATGTTATCGATCATGAAATCAAAGCTTGTGTAACCATTATTCTGTTAATATACGAATCAAGAAGTCTAATAAATGTCCTTATTGGATTGACTAAGGATATTAGATAGCAATCAAAAAACAAATGCAGCTTGCCTCTTACCACTTTGGTCAGTGTTGATTAGGTGGATACCCTGTATCCTGGCAATGGTTCCTCTTCATGTGGTCCTCCTCTTCTTCACCACGTGGTCCTCCTCTTCACCATGTAGTCCTCTTCTTTGTGTGGTCCTCTTCTTTACCATATGGTCCTCTTCTTAAATATGTGGTCCTCCACATGCAGTGTGTGTTTTACCATTTTGGTCCATGTTGGATTGTCAACATAAGGGAAACCCAGCATCCTGATTATGAACAAATTGTCATTTGTTGTCGTCTGTAATTTTGCATCTATCTATACCTCCATCTAAAAGGTACTTTTGTTGATTAGATACTAAGATTCAAGATCAAAGCCAGCTTAGTTTACAAGAGTTGAGATTAGCAGAAGAAATGGAATCAGTAATTTGTACCTTACCCTCTATTCAGTGGTTGGCTTCAGGTGATCACAACTCCCTCCAGACTCTTCTCACAAGTAGTGTTGTCAGCTTGCATTCTTTGTATTGGGATTTGGGCTAACTAAAACTCCATTTAAAACAGAGTTAAAAGTCATTCAAGTAATAGTACCAGTCTTAAATAAAGTGAAAATAGAAAATCTTAATCTAAATTGTGAAAAAACTTCTGTCTATTTCTTACCACTTTGGCCAATGTTGGCCTGTTGGTTTTGTGGATACCCAGTAACCTGGCAATGGTTCCTCTTCCTTGTGTGATCTTCTTCTTTCTTGTGTGGTCCTCCTTTTCTTTCCCATGTGGTCCTTTGCTTCTTTGTGTGGTCCACCACATGCAGTGTGTGTCTTACCATTTTGGTCAATGTTGGCTTGTCCACATAGTAGAAACCCTGTCTCCTTGTCATTGTAATTTGGCATCTATACCTGCATTGAAAAGCTTCGACACAGTTTACCTAATATGTTCTTGGTACTTTTGTTGATTAGATAGATTTAAGATTTTAAGTTTACAAGAGTTGAGAATAAGCAGAAGCATTGGAATCAGTCATTTGTACCTTACCCTTAATTCAGTGCTTGGCTTCAGTTGATCCAAACTCCCTGGATTCTTCTTTAGAAGTAGTGTTGATGGAGCACATTCTTTGCATTGGGATTGGGGCTATTTAACATACAGATCAAGAGTCAAATAAGTACTAGGACCAGTTTTAAATAAAGTGAAAACAGAAAATAAAAATCTAAATTGGAAAACACCAACTGCTTGTTTCTTACCACTTTGGCCAATACCCAGTTCCTTTCAATGGATATCCTCTTCTTTGTGTGGTCCTCTTCTTCAACATTGTGTAGTCCTTATCTTTCAACATGTGTAGTCCTTTTCATTGTGTGGTATCTTTTTACCTGCATTGAAAAGTTTAGACACAGTTTACTTGTGATTAGATCTTTTACTTTGTGTGGTCCTACTCCTTTATTACAGTCCTCCATATTCTTTGAGCTTCTAGTTTTCTTAACCACTTTAAGTTAGTAGAAGCTTATCAAAAAGTGAAAACCCAGTGTCCTTGTTATGACCTTTGTTTATTTCTTAACACTTTGTGTTAAAGCCTTATTCAGTTTGGCTTGTGTGATCCTGCATTGTAAAGTTTGACACAGTTTCTTTTCATTGTGTATTTTAAAACCTCTTGATTCTTTTGTGCTGGATTAGATACCTTCCTAAGTGTTTCAGATTTGCTTAGTTTACACAGTTTAAATTGAAAACAGAAAATTAAATCTAAGTTATTGATTTCTTTGTGTGGTTTGCTCTTATTAGCAGAAGAAATGTAATTAGTAATTTATATCTTACCCTTTTTTCAGTGGTTGGCTTAAGTTGATCCCCTTCTTTGTATTGGGATTGACTACAATTCTGTAAACAACGTCAAAAGTCACTAGTATTAGTCTTTAATAAAGTGAAAACAGAAAACAAAATCTAAATTGCAAAATCAAAAACACTGTCTATTTCTTACCACTTTGGCCAATGTTGGCCTGTTTTTCTAGTGGATACCCAGTATCTTGGCAATGGTCCTCTCTTCCTTGTGTGGTCCTCTTCTTCCTTGTTTGGTCCTCCTCTTCTTCCTTGTGTGGTCCTCTTCTCTTCAACTGTGTGGTCCTCTTCCTTGTGTGTTCCTCTTCTCTTCAATTGTGTGTTCCTCTTCCTTGTGTGGTCCTCTTTTCTTCAATTGTGTGGTCCTCTTCCTTGTGTGGTCCTCTTTTCTTCAATTGTATGGTTTTCTTCTTCACCAAGTGTTTTTTTTTCCTTTGTGTGGTCCTCCATGTGAAGCTTGTTTCCTACCATTTTGGTAAATGTTGGCTGGTTGACATAGTGGAAACCCCACCTCCTGGTTATGGTCTCAATGACATTGTATTGTCATCTGTAATTTGACATCTATCTATACCTGCATCTAAAAGTTTAGACACAGTTTACTTTAGCTCTTGGTACTTTTGTTGATCCTATACAAAGATTTCAGATTTCTTAGATTACAAGAGTTGAGATTAGCAGAAGAAATGGAATCAATAATTTGTATCTTACCCTCTATTCAGTCATTAGCTTAATTCAGTCAATCTCAACTTCCTGGACCCTTCTTTTCAAACAGTGTTGTCAGAGTGCATTCTTTGTATTGGGATTTGGACAAACTGTAATTCTGTTTACATAAAGAGTCAAATAAGTTCTAATACCAGTGTTTAATAAAGTTACAACAGAAAATCAGAATCTAAATTGCAAAAAAAAAAAAAAAAAACTGCTGTCTATTTCTTACCACTTTGGCCAAATTAAGTTGGCCCATTGTTATAGTGGATACCCTGTATCCTGGCAATGGTTCCCTCAATGTGGTATCTGCTGCCTTCTGTCTATCCCTAGTGCCCTTGAGAATGGTAGAAACTGACACAAGATTACTTTAGTTCCAATATATTGAAAGGGATCCTTTTGATACATCATTCTCACACAAAGACATGTAACAATAACACATTTGGAAAAGGTACAAACAATCATAAATGAAAAGGGCAAAAAGGTGAGTTCTGTTAGTAATGTAAGTATGAAAGGGAAGGGGAGAGAACAGCAAACAAAAATATGTGCAAAAGAACCAATACATCTCACCTTATGTCTGGCTTAATTAGAAGATCAAATAACAACCTTATCTTGGGCTCCCTGAGTACCATTGGCTCCATTCTGTTTAAATTACATCTGCAAAATGTTTAATTTACCAATTAAATTAAAATTTAAAATAAAATGATTCATTGTGCTAATATATGTAAAACCCACAGCAAATGAAATTTATTACACATACATCATCTTAAGTGGAGAGGGCTTATATAGGCTATGTCTGCTGCCTAATCCATTTATGTAATTATTTAAGGAATAACTGTCTAATTTTTTGGTTTCATGATGTGACCAATTGAGTTACTCGCATGACAGTTTGCATGAACGCCGAGCAACTTTGATTTTATATTGAGAGTACCTTTGAAAAGTATCAGTGGGAAAGGTATTGGATTACTTCACACATGATATTAAAAAAAAAAGGTATACAGTATATATATTTATTACTAAAGATTGCAGCTTTTACATCACAGTTACCTGTAGGATTAGCTTCAGTCAATATCAGCTCTGTATACTCTTGCTGGCTGGTGATATGCCCTGCTTAATCTCTGTCTATATTGTCTCTGCTTTATCTTAAGGTGGTACTGTCTTTGTTTAAACTTAGAATGGATACTGTCTCTGCTTTATCTTAAGGTGGTGCTGCCTTTGCTTCATCTTAGGATGGATACTGTCTCTGCTTTATCTTAAGGTGGTGCTGCCTTTGCTTAATCTTAGGATGGATACTGACTCTGCTTTATCTTAAGGTGGTACCATCTCTGCTAAATCTTAGGTCTCTGCTTAATCTTAGGATGGATATTGTCTCTGCTTTAAACAAAAAAGGTGATGCTGCATCTTCTTTGCTTAATCTTAGGATGGATACTGTCTCTGCTTTATCTTAAGTTGGTATTGTCTTTGCTTAATCTTAGGATGGATACTGTCTCTGCTTTATCTTAAGGTGGTGCTGCCTTTGCTTAATCTTAGGATGGATACTGACTCTGCTTTATCTTAGGTGGCACTGCCTTTGCTTAATCTTAGGATGGATACTGTCTCTGCTTTATCTTAGGGTGTACTGCCTTTGCTTAATCTTAGGATGAATACTGACTCTGCTTTATCTTAGGTGGTGCTGCCTTTGCTAACACCTGAACCCCTGATTCAGATAATCTTAGGATGGATACTGACTCTGCTTTATCTTAGGTGGTGCTGCCTTTGCTTAATCTTAGGATGGATACTGACTCTGCTTTATCTTAAGGTGGTACTGCTTTTGCTTAATCTTAGGATGGATACTGTCTCTGCTTTATCTTAGGTGGTGCTGCCTTTGCTTAATCTTAGGATGGATACTGACTCTGCTTTATCTTAGGTGGTGCTGCCTTTGCTTAATCTTAGAATGGATACTGACTCTGCTTTATCTTAGGTGGTGCTGCCTTTGCTTAATCTTAGGATGGATACTGACTCTGCTTTATCTTAAGGTGGTGCTGCCTTTGCTTAATCTTAGGATGGATACTGACTCTGCTTTATCTTAGGTGGTGCTGCCTTTGCTTAATCTTAGGATGGATACTGACTCTGCTTTATCTTAAGGTGGTGCTGCCTTTGCTTCATCTTAGAATGGATACTGACTCTGCTTTATCTTAGGTGGTACTGCCTTTGCTTAATCTTAGGATGGAAACTGACTCTGCTTTTCCTTAGGTGGTGCTGCCTTTGCTTAATCTTAGGATGGATACTGTCTCTGCTTTATCTTAAGGTGGTGCTGCCTTTGCTTAATCTTAGGATGGATACTGACTCTGCTTTATCTTAGGTGGTGCTGCCTTTGCTTAATCTTAGGATGGATACTGTCTGTGCTTTATCTTAGGTGGTGCTGCCTTTGCTTAATCTTAGGATGGATACTGACTCTGCTTTATCTTAGGTGGTGCTGTCTTTGCTTCATCTTAGGATGGATACTGACTCTGCTTTATCTTAGGTGGTGCTGCCTTTGCTTAATCTTAGGATGGATACTGACTCTGCTTTATCTTAGGTGGTGCTGTCTTTGCTTCATCTTAGGATGGATACTGACTCTGCTTTATCTTAGGTGGTACTGCCTTTGCTTAATCTTAGGATGGATACTGACTCTGCTCTTAGGTGGTGCTGCTTTGCTTAATCTTAGGTGGATACTGTCTCTGCTTTATCTTAGGTGGTGCTGCCTTTGCTTAATCTTAGGATGGATACTGACTCTGCTTTATCTTAGGTGGTGCTGCCTTTGCTTAATCTTAGGATGGATACTGACTCTGCTTTATCTTAGGTGGTACTGCCTTTGCTTAATCTTAGGATGGAAACTGACTCTGCTTTTCCTTAGGTGGTGCTGCCTTTGCTTAATCTTAGGATGGATACTGACTCTGCTTTATCTTAGGTGGTGCTGCCTTTGCTTAATCTTAGGATGGATACTGACTCTGCTTTATCTTAAGGTGGTGCTGCCTTTGCTTAATCTTAGAATGGATTCTGACTCTGCCTTATCTTTGGTAGTGCTGCCTTTGCTTAATCTTAGGATGGATACTGACTCTGCTTTATCTTAGGTGGTGCTGCCTTTGCTTAATCTTAGGATGGATACTGACTCTGCTTTATCTTAGGTGGTGCTGCCTTTGCTTAATCTTAGGATGGATACTGACTCTGCTTTATCTTAGGTGGTGCTGCCTTTGCTTAATCTTAGGATGGATACTGACTCTGCTTTATCTTAGGTGGTGCTGTCTTTGCTTCATCTTAGGATGGATACTGACTCTGCTTTATCTTAGGTGGTGCTGCCTTTGCTTAATCTTAGGATGGATACTGACTCTGCTTTATCTTAGGTGGTACTGCCTTTGCTTAATCTTAGGATGGATACTGACTCTGCTTTATCTTAGGTGGTGCTGCCTTTGCTTAATCTTAGGATGGATACTGACTCTGCTTTATCTTAGGTGGTGCTGCCTTTGCTTCATCTTAGGATGGATACTGACTCTTCTTTATCTTAAGGTGGTGCTGCCTTTGCTTAATCTTAGGATGGATACTGACTCTGCTTTATCTTAGGTGGTGCTGTCTTTGCTTAATCTTAGGATGGATACTGACTCTGCTTTATCTTAGGTGGTGCTGCCTTTGCTTAATCTTAGGATGGATACTGACTCTGCTTTATCTTAGGTGGTGCTGCCTTTGCTTCATCTTAGGATGGATACTGACTCTGCTTTATCTTAAGGTGGTACTGCTTTTGCTTAATCTTAGGATGGATACTGTCTCTGCCTTATCTTAAGGTGGTGCTGCCTTTGCTTAATCTTAGGATGGATACTGTCACTGCCTTATCTTAAGGTGGTGCTGCCTTTGCTTAATCTTAGGATGAATACTGTCTCTGCTTTATCTTAAGGTGGTGCTGCCTTTGCTTAATATTAGGATGGTACTGTCTCTACTTTATCTTTGCATGGGTACTGTTTCTGCTTGCTTCTGCAAAATACAAAGTCAAGATTAAAAGAGGGTCATATCTGCATCAAGTAATGTTATGAAAGTATATATTTGGTGCTTGTATGATGTTCCAATGCTTCCTTGACTCAGTGACAAGTAATTGAGTCTTTTTGGTAGGATCAAATCTTGGCAAATCATTAATCTGTTTATGAAAAAAATTCCAGGGGTCAAAAAAAGTTACTTATTTGTGTCAACAGAGAAATCCAAAATGCAGCAATTGGAGCCTGTTTCTTACCACTTTGGCCACTGTTGGCCTGTTGTTATGGTGGTTACCCTGTATACTGACAATGGTCTCCTCCTGGATGTGTTGCTGGCTGCCACCTGTCCATCCCTTCTCTGTGAGCTTGACAATGAAAGAAACTGACAAATGATTTGTACAGTTCTAAAGCATTGTAAGAGAAAGGACAAAAGTTCTGCTGCTTCAGATGGGTATTCTGTTAAAGGAAAATCAAGAAGTTAAAGTGGGACTCATTCTAAATCATTTTAAAAATGACGTTAAAAAAATAGAAGTTGTGTGAACACAGGGCTAATAAAATGATACAAACCCTCTTTAATGTGTACAATGACAAATTACACATTTTTTCCTTGGAAATCCCAAAATTTTTGAACAACAAAAACATATAAAAAGACCTCCATTTAATCTTTAAAATAAAGATTCTGTTTAAGTCTCAAATTTTATTCAATGGTTGAAGGTAAAGTTGTAAATAAGATTTGGGTACTCCCAATATTATAAAGAAAGAAAGGCAGTTACCACAATTACATATGGTAAACTCAGATATATCTTCAACCAAACTGAAGAATAGACGAGTTCATAATTGCACTTTGTTATAAAAAGTTCTCTGAAAGTCTCACTGAATCTCAGTGGTTATTAGACGAGTTGCAAATAAGACATAGCTTCCTCACAATATAATGGGTGGACAAAATGAAGGAAAGACAGACAACCCTGTAATTGATAACTCACTTTTCAAACAGTGGGTATAATAAAGAGTTTGTGTTAGAAGGAAGAATCTTACCACATCTTTCAAGGTAGAACTCAGTTTTGTGGTCTCTTCTTTGCTGCAGGTCTAGGAATCCATCTTTTCCCCCTACTAAGACAGAACAGTAAATGTGTATATTACTGCAATTTTGTCATATAAACACAATGTGCAAGAAATTGAGGGGGAGATAAACAAGAGGTAAACAATGTATATTACCCCAACATATGATTAGTTGTCATGGTGGATCCTTCTGGTCTGGACTCTTTGACTAATCAGTCAGTGTTAAACTGGTGATGGTGGCCACTCTAATGCTCTGCTTAATTAGTATTGGTTGCTGCTTCTGTAAGGTTGGCTACTGCTTGTCCCTGCTTCTGTTTGATTGGCTTCTGCTTCTGTTAGGTAAATACTGCTTGTCCCTGCTTCTATAAGATTGGCTACTGCTTGTCCTTGCCACTGTAAAATTAAAAACTGCTTGTCCCTGCAACAGTAAAAATGGGTGCTGCTTGTCCTTGCTTCTGTAAGATTGGCTACTGCTTCTGAAAAAGTAAATACTGCTTGTCCCTGCATCTGTAGAGTTGGCTACAGCTTGTCCATACTTCTATAAGATTGGTCTCTGCTTCTGTAAGATTGATTACTACTTGTCCCTGCAACTGTAAAACTAATTACTGCTTCACGTCCCTGCATCTTCAAGATTAATTATACTGCTTGTCCCTACATCTGTAAGATTAATTATACTGCTTGTCCCTGCAACTATCTTCAAGATTAATTATACTGCTTGTCCCTACATCTGTAAGATTAATTATACTGCTTGTCCCTGCAACTGTAAGATTAAATACTGCTTGTTCCTGCAACTGTAAGGTTAATTACTGCTTCATGTCCCTGCATCTGTAAGATAAATTATACTGCTTGTCCCTGAAATGGCAAGATTAATTAATGCTTGTCACTGCAAATGCAAGATTAAATACTGTTTGTCCCTGCTTCTATAAGATTAATTACTGCTTGTCCCTTTATCTGAAAGATTAGTATCTGCTTGTCCCTGCAACTGTAAGATTAATTACTGCTTCACGTCCCTGCAACTGTAAGATTAATTACTGCTTGTCCCTGCATCTGAAAGATTAGTATCTGCTTGTCCCTGCAACTGTAAGATTAATTACTGCTTGTCCCTGCAACTGTAAGATTAATTACTGCTTCACATCCCTGCAACTGTAAGATTAATTACTGCTTCACGTCCCTGCAACTGTAAGATTAAATACTGCATGTCCCTGCAAATGCAAGATTAAAAACTGTTTGTCCCTGCTTCTATAAGATTAATTACTGCTTCACGTCCCTGCAACTGTAAGATTAATTACTGCTCCATGTCCCTGCAACTGTAAGATTAATTACTGCTTCATGTCCCTGCAACTGTAAGATTAATTACTGCTTCACGTCCCTGCAACTGTAAGATTAATTACTGCTTCACGTCACTGCAACTGTAAGATTAATTACTGCTTCACGTCCCTGCAACTGTAAGATTAATTACTGCTTCACGTCACTGCAACTGCAAGATTAATTACTGCTTCACATCACTGCAACTGTAAGACTTATTGCTGCACATCCCTGCATCTGTAAGATTAAAAAAAATTGTCTCTGCCTCTCTGAAGTAAATGAGTGTCTACAGCTTATCCCTGCATCTGCGAGATTGGTAACTGCATGCTTGTCCCTGCATCTGAAAAAAATAAAAACTGCTTGTCCCTCTATCTGTAAGATTAAATAAATATACATATATAAATACAATATATACAATCAAACCTCTTTATCTCGAACTTAAAGGGACCTTAAAAAAAATACTTAAATGATAGGGGATTCAATAGGACAAATCACTGAAAAGTATCAAAGATCTTTTTGAGACATCAATGTTCGAGATATCGAAGTTCAACTGTTTATTCATAACTTTTTTTTGTTTTTTTTTGTTTTTTTGTAGTTTTTTTTTTTCCATGCATGTATGAGATAAACCCAACACCATGATGTTGTATATACAACTAAACATCAATGAGTTGTTGTCCATCTCAAAGGGCCTCGCTCTACCTAAGGGACATCAGGATGAGAGGGCTTTGTAAAGGACCTTGACATATGACCTTCAATCCACTGGTACTCTGGAGGACATATGAGATGAAGCTCAAGGGAACACAAAATAATGATCTTGACAATGAATTCACATAGATGTCGTCTGTGACCTTGAAATCTTACCAAAACCTTGGTTTAAAGCTAAACTACACCATTGAATGAAGTGGAATTCTATAGGTTACTGAGTAAATATATGCTGAATAGAGCTAAGAGTTGGTATAATAAAAAACCCAAACCTCCTGTCATTGTATAAAAATTATATCCGACTATAAACCCTGGAAGATTTTACTATGTAAACAGAAATGTTCTTCACCACTGACCTTTGGTTCAAGGACTCTACAAAGGGGAGATAAATATGCTAACTATGATAAAGATGACAAGACCTTGACTTCTGACCTAGAAGCTGTATAAAGACACTATATATGGGTGAAGTATAAGCCAGAAAGGGCTAAAATGAGAGAAAACATGTACCTTTAGTTCAAAAACTCTGCAAAGGGGAAAAAATATGTTCACTATGATAAAGATGACAAGACCTTGACCTCTGACCAAGAAACTGTTCATTACTGGACATCCTAAAGGGCTAAAATGAGAGAAAATATGCTCCAAATAATAATATAACATGCAGATGTGGTTTCTACATTGACCTTTTGAAAACTGGTTCAAGGTTACTGCAGTTTAAACCAGTTTGGGATATGAGAAGAGAATACATTCTGGGTAAACAGTCTCAGACAGACGGACAAACTGATCATAATCAAAGCGGGCCCTAAATATTGAAAACAAAACCACTCACTTTTCATCTACGTCTGGACAGAGCAGCTGAGGCGAGGCGAGGGTGGTGGACGGAAAAAACATGTGTGTGCAGATGGGACATTCAAAAATTAATTTAACAATATTGAAAACAATAAACATTGAAATTCAGACACTTGACAATATACAAATACATGCAAAAAAATGCATTTGTCAGAAAGGACATCAACCAAAAATTGTAGAACACAGCTACATATATGCTATACCCAGAAATTCAAATACTGTATAAAGAAAGCACCTACATGTAAATCATATCTTTCTCCTGATCACACCTAAATAGTAGACCGTATGGTTTCCAGGAGACTGTGCCAGAAATAGGCAATAGAAGCTAGTGTAAAATGTAGGTCGGTAGAGCATCAGAGTCAGCATCCTAAGATACACGCTAAAGAACAAGATCAGTTTGGAACTGATCAAAATAATGAAAATAATCTGAGCTCTGAGCCAGTTAAGAAACAAATGTAGGTCAAATGCAGCATCCAAAATAAGCATCAGAGTCAGCATGTCCAATGACGCATGATAAAGAACAAGATCAGTTTGGAACTAATCTAAATGAAAATACTCCTGGCTAATAAATCAAGACATGCAAGTGAGATGCGGCATCAGAGGAAGCATCAAGTACAAATTTGGTTTGATTTCTGCTTGTGAGAAGCAGAGGATATATACATTTAAATGTTCAGTTCATTAACCATTATGTCACTAAAGCATGAAATTACAATACATATGCATCAGCAAAGGGATGCATCAAATGAACGATTTATGTGCATGTTTTCAGACCAAGACAGACAAACAGACAGACATAGTGATAATAATGTTACACATCAATACACAAGTGTTGAACAATATGGAAACTTTTTATATGAGAAAATTGATCATCGCTCATAATCAGTAGCTTTAAATTGATGAAGGATGACAGCCAGCAGAATGCCATGAGGAAATTGAAGGTACGGTTTGCGTCCATTTTAGTTTGGGAAAACGGAGAAAAAAAACGTGTCCAGAAATTATCATAATACGCAAAGCACACTTAATTTCATTTTTCTCAGCGATGGATTCATAAAACTCCTAATCAAAGATTCATCGGTAACGGTAACTATATCAACCACGGTTAACCAATTATCAGTGACAATCTTTACATAAATAATCATAATGTGATACATTGAATATACCAACAAAAAAGTAACAAATAGTGAAATCTCAGAAAAGGAACCTATAATTACAGATCATTGAATAAATTAAGGGTCGGTGAAAACAAATGGAATCCCCCCCCCCCCCTACCATTTAATCTTTCTCGTGAAATTAATATAATGCTGTATTAGACTTGATTTACAGAAAGAATTAAGCCTTTTTATTTTTACAAAAATTAACCTCGGAATCTGAGCTTACTCAAATTATAAATAACAGAAACTGGATGGAAAACCGAAACCCACGTGATTACGATTATCCATGTAACTGATGATTAATAAAGACTAAAGATTACTTAAATTTTGAAAAATAAATAAAGTGAAATAATCTCAGTTAACCATTAATTAAGCTCCAAATTTTAAGAGAACTCGAGCATCCTTGGGGATGAGAAAGGGATAAGTATAAGTTTACAAGCGATAAATTATATATAGGGTATACAAAAACATAGAATTCCTGAGATTTACAAATTCATATAATGTATACAAATAAAAAAAAAATCACTTTAACATTGCATGATTACAGACATAGAAACAGAGACATCTCAAGGTCATAACCCCAGGTCACAGGTTAATGAATTAAAGGGAAATTAATGGAAATTACATTCACAATAATAAGTTTAAATTAACAGTTAAATGTCTAACTCACCCCAACCACTCCCCATTTGTTATACTGTAAATTCCTAACTTTAAGCAAGTACAAAATACTGTGAAATGGCATTTTAGATGGCAAATCGCCAGATCAATAATTCACGAGTGGGCGTTTTTTCAGGAAAATATACATATAATTTACCACCATAAAAATGAAAACGGTAATTTTATTTTACAAGTGGCACTTCTCGCAAAATTACGCAATAATTAATTCCTCACGTTTATTTAGGAAACTACAGTAATGAATATATTGAGAAAACAATTAGTCTAGAAATGATATTTAAATAATTAATTATAACAAATTAAAATAATCTCATGAATGCAGTGGCTAAATAACGGTGTGTGCATGAGTTGAGATATTTAGCCACCAGCCTTCATGAGAAAATCGTGTGCAAAAAAAGGGGGCCTAATTCTATCTTAATTATTATTCATTAATTAGGTATTTTAATATTTTATAAAGAAATAAGAGAGGGAATCTAATCAGAATACTTCATGTATTTAACAAATATGAAATCGCTATCTTAATCATATTTAAAATATGCGAAAATATTTATATAAAAAAAACAATTAATTTAAGTCTAATCATAACGCTGTATATCTTTATTTAAAAACAGAGAAATGATAGATAAGATCTTTATAAATTAACCAAAATATTAAAGGGAAAATTAAATTTATAATAGTCCTTGAGATGCACCCCAAAATATACACTGTATATATAAAAAATACAAAACAATATCTATTAAATACAAATACAATTTTCTAAACAATAAGAAATACATGCAAACAAAATATTGATTGAAAAGTAATACATTAAGGAAAGGAAAAAAGATGGAACCCTACTATAAAAATTGGGACCCCCTATAAATTAAGAATTACCAAAAAATACTGTATTAAGATGAAATTATCGCATAATGAACATCACAATCAGGAAAAAAATTAAATGGGAACTTTTAAGCTGAAGGAAGAGATCATGCACGGATCTAAAAGGGGGAATTGAGGGGGGCACTTTA